AATGATCCTTCGTGAGCTTTATAGAGATTTCACGATCAAAATATCTCCATTCTACAATAATATCACCATTGACGTATAAAGAGGGTTCGACAAGGCGACGCAATTTCGCCAAAACTATTCACTGCCACCCTACAGAATGTTATGCGAGCATTGGAATGGGACGATGTGGGAGTGAAAATTGACGGTCGACAATTAAACCATCTTCGCTTTGCTGACGATATCGTTCTCATAACACCAAACATCAGTAAAGCGGAATAAATGTTGACCGATTTCGATAACGCCTGTGGAAAGATCGGTCTTCAACTAAGTCTAACGAAAACAATGCTTATAAGGAACGAATGGGTTTCGAATGACCCATTCACGCTCAACAGAACGGCACTCTCCGAATGCTCCAGTTACATCTATCTAGGTCGTGAAATCACCATGATCAACGACCTAGCTCCAGAGTTGAGCAGGAGGAAACGAGCGGGTTGAGGAACATTAAAGAGCATCGAAGATGTAGTGAAGAGGACAAGGAACATCCGATTCCGTGCCCACCTTTTCGACTCAACAATTTCCCTGCCCTAACGTATGCAGCAGAAACCTGGTCGCTACGTAAGCAGGATGAAAGATCACTTGGCGTTATCGAACGCGTAGTCGAAAGGTCGATGCTAGGAGTATCCCGTATCTCGCAAGTGAGAGAAAGCATCCGAAGTTCCGACCTACATCAACGGTTGAAAATCAGAGACGCCGTTCTACACGCCAGGATATCGAAAATAAGGTGGGTCGGGCACGTGGTGCTCTTCAAACGACAACCGGTGGACGAGAGCCGTTACCTACTGGATTCCTCGGGACGTCAAGCGCTCTAAAGGAAGACCACTGATCCGTTGGTACGACTTTTTTACGAAAGCGATAGAAGAAAGATATGATGCTCAGCGAATCCCTAGAGCGAGGAGGACCCACTGGGCTACTCTTGCACGCGGTAGGGAAAATGGAAGAGTTGCTGGTACCCGCTCGAGTCACTCGACGATCAACGGGACGACAGGTGATTCAGGTGATAGTAATTTATGTATATTATAGGTTGTTTGGTATCACGCCATTGTTTGGTTTCATCTCAATGTTTGGTATAACCAGTATGAACCACTGCAACCTTCACAATACAGTACGGATCCACTGAACCCCACATATAATTTAGTACTTCGGCTACAAATCTTTGCTACAATTTTGGGGCATTGGCTGGAAATCGAACCCGGGTCGTCCGCTTGGCAGGCAATCATTCTACCACTGAACCACTTCCTCCACCACTACCTACCATTTTTCCAATGAATCGAAATGAACAGAGGATAGTTCAAATGACGAGTTTTTTGTGAAACCTAATCTTTCTTCTGGCTCTTACACCATAATGACGGGTCTATCATGAAAACCAGATAAATCATTGAAATCTAAGATTTGTTGTTATATGCTCCAAGTGTTATAAAAACATTTCGTTACTTTACCGTTATCCGTACTTTGTCTCAACCCTCCGGAAAAAAGGTTACTTTTCAGTCATCTCAAATGATTAGGGCCTCGGAAAGGCAAAACTGATTCACAAATCATGAACCTACTGATGTTCTTGATTTTTTAACGGACTTCTCGGTGCGTTATAACAACCAAAAGGAGATTCCTGATTCTCTTATTCGGCAGGTACGAGGTTGTTAACATGAAGATTTATTTGGTACAAAAGAACAGTACAATGAACTTGATCGTGACGCTTGACGTTTTGGCTTTTTCGCCCTCTTCAGAGCCTGGAAGAGTCAAGTTAATATGCATAACACTCAAACAAGCACTGCTGAATAAGAAAATCATGGACGTATCCAATCAATACCGAGGGCAATTGATAGTCGGTCATGGGAGCTGCTTCAAAAAAAAACCGCTTTTCGTGAAACTGAATCAGTCCTATTGTTCGCGCCTTTATTTGATCTCTTGAGAATAGCGCAATTTTTCGAGAGTATACTCTGTTTTCTGTCTGCGCAAAAATGAAATCTCGTGTCTCATTCAAGCATTTGAGGTTGAGCAGAGCTTTTTGCTTAGACATTCAACTGTCATCCGATAACTTAAATCTTGTCAATTTCGATAAAGTTTTTTATTCTCAAAAAGGACCTTTTATTGCGCCGCAGCCAGCAAAAGATTATTAAGTTTCGCTTTGCGCAACGAGCAGCTTTAAGCCACCGGGCTTTGGAGGTGCGTGGATAAGATTTCGTCATATTAGCTCAAAGCCAACCCTTTTACTTGTTAGTGAGCAAGGTTTTGCAACAGACTACACCAATCCATTGCACGTCATTGGTTGCTCAGTTGCCTTCTGCTGGTTTTCAGCGAGTACCCTCAAGTATGAACATTTATGCTTTACCGAGTACTGAAAAAAGCAAACGCACTTATGTTCCTGCAAAAACATAGAGTGTTACAATCCGAATGTCAGTGTAAGGAAGGTCATAGAATGAATCTTGCGTTTGGTCCACAGATCTTTTGACGATGTTACAAACATGCTTTAGAAAAGCCTCTCCGGCTAAGGTGCACCCTCCGTGCCGAGTACGAAACCAGTCTTTTTTTTTGCTGCTACAGAGTATTAGGAAATTCTCTTGAAACTAAAGACATTGTTGGAATTGCTGAGATTCTATCTATCGACTAGCTTTCGAAACTCTTAAAACTTTGCTTAGCTCACCGCGAAATACATGAATGAAAAACAAATTTTTTTATGTTCTAGTTCAATAGTAAAAGCGTTTCAAAAACAAAATGAACCACTCAAATCCATTTGATTTGTGCTGTCGAATGATTAGCTATACATCAAAAACGACAAAAAAATACGTTTTCTCTGAAGTGTCAAATCAGGATGTGGACAACGGAAAT